GGTAACGGAATTAGAAATTTACCCCTGACTTAATTCGGCGTCTAATCCGACTGGAGAAGCTTTGAGGGCTTTATCTTCACCGATCGCTCACGGTCTGCGGAAGTCGGAAAGGCGAACTGTTATTAATAGCCGGGGTCTTTCGTGACCCACCCCCTTTTCAATCGCGGCTGCGTGCCATCCGAAACAACATTTGATTACATGCTGTGTTATACATGACAAATAACCCTCAGAAAACAATGTTACCGGCCACTTTCCTGTTGCCCCGGGGACAATCCTATTTATAAGAAAAAACTTGTTTTTCAAGTACAGTTACATATTTTACATAAAAAATTATCTCCATTCTTACTTCATATTGCCGTACATAGTGAGTCTCATAACAAACACATTTGTAATCCAGATAAGATTAATTTGCTTATGTGGCTAAAGAGCCTTTTACTGTGCGTCCATCAGGCATGACTATTGTCCTCCACTCACCACTACTCCCTTAAGGAACCTGGAAGGAACCTCCAAGGTAGCTTCCAGATCCTTAAGATTACTGGATTTTGCTTTCCTTTGCGGCTGAATAGAAACCTTGTTAGACCATTACAGGGACATATAATACTCATATGTACTACCCGTTCCTCTTCTTCTTAGCAGAACCTACCTGGACCTTCCGCCGCTCATTGTATTTTAATATACCTATCGAGTCGACAAACAGCAATCAAACGTTTTTCTTTTTTTGTTAAAGCAGGTCAGTTGTATGTATACAGCGCTGGAAATCATAAGGTCCAAAATATCATGGTTCTCTTCCTGGAATAACTTGGCTCAACAATTTCAGCTGAATGACAATTTTTCCCTGGACAATTTCAAATAGTGGCCACTTTTACACTCAAAATTAATTAACAATATCCGCACTTCTCACACAGTGAAATGTCTCCTTCATGCTCAAAATTCTTCTAGGTTTCATAAGGACCTTAATATCAGTCAACCTTTCTTGAACATAGCGCAAAATTCTAAAATTCCGTCCATTCCGCTAGCTCGCTGGTTTTTCAAAATTAGGTGCCAGTTACTGTACCTTAATTATAACCCCACAAGAGTCAATAGTTCCGATAAGTGCTCTCTCTGCAACAGGCAGGCTCGAGAAGACTGTTTTCATTTTCTAGCAGAACGCCCAGTTTTAGCGGAATTCCGATCACGGCATAGGCTTGCCCACGTTGACGAGAGAGCACCTAATCTCTTTATTAAATAAACCCGAGTTTTTAAATCTGGTAAAGTTTGCGATGGATGCCTGGAACTACAGGAAAATGCTTGTTTTTTATTTCAATTATTAAAGGTTTACTGTATATATGAGAGACACCCTGGTTATTTATATGTGCATAAATAGATATGTTGTTATTTTAGTTTACTTATATAGTTTTTTTCTCTCTCTTTTGTTTATTCCTTAAGTAGACATGTGTTCCTTGTTTGTTAAAAATTTATAGTCCGACTCCGGGACGGTTGATAACCATTGCCGTTATGTGCTTTTTGTTTATGTACAATTTTTTTTACTCTCTTTTGTTTATCTAATAAAGTACTTTTTCATTCATTCATTCAGTTGTATGTATCGGCAAGACTTTTTTAACAGAGCCTCTCTATCCTAGGGTGTCGATCCACCAGATGTGTCTTTAATTGAACCATGAGACAATTCCGTTTTAGCAGTTTTCAAAATTAAATGAGAATCCATTTGCTATCTTGTGATCTTTCTCTGTAAGGTCTCCAGCATGATGAACCGTAATTTGGTCTTTACCGATCACTTTGGTCAATCTGTCTTCGCTTGAGTACCAAATTATATTTAGCTTTATAATTACTGTATTTAGGTTTTCTTTCCCGATGAGTAAAAACTTTCTTAAAAACTAATTCCAATATTTTCATAGGTCCGTTGAGTCAATATGCATTACAAACTTTCTTCCATATTTGTTACACCAGGTGCTCGTTGCTTTCTTATCGAAGCCATTTGCCTCCCTTTGATCTGGGGTGTTGATCCTCCATGTGTGAGTCTTTAACTTGTACCATGCGACAATTGTTCCTTTGTAGCAGTTTGAGTTGGCATTGAAAAACCCTCCGTTTCGAATTTGTTGCATTCTGCCCTGCTAGGATCTACACAGTAAAAAATTGTTCTCCCTGTGCAGTCACGCTGTGTACTGTGCGTTATCTAACCTCAGGTAAGCGACTTCTATTAGTGCTAACTATAGTAGATATCTAACTCCGAGCCCTTTTTTAGACAAGGATTTCATGTCCAAAAAAAATTCCCCATAAATACCTGCTACGGTGATGCGGTTGATTTTTAAACCAAGAACATGTTTCACACATCCACTTTCTGTGTTTCTTTGCAAAGTTATACATAGGAAACATATAGCAGTTGATTAGAAACAGGAGATGAAAGAGCCGTTTATTAGTCTAGGTGGTAATGGTGATGTTAAGGTTATTAGGAAGCGGCCGGAGTTTCGGTATTCCACAAGGCCCACAGCCTGCTAGATATTGTACTCTCCCTAAGTTCCTAATTTGGACCAACAGACTTCTTTCCACCGGGTCATACCTAGGTAATGACTTAAGAGTGGTTGCTTGGCATTCGGCGATGGATAGAAGTTCGTACTCATTGCATAATGCATGATATATATTTAATAGGACGACGATATGTAGGTGTTTTCTCAGGGGGTAGTGACCAGTATATATCCTTAACACTTTCCTCTGTTCAACTGAGTCTAACCTTATTAGTTAGACTTTGCCAGTACTGATGAAGGTTCTTTAATCATGAGTTTAGAATGTGCGGAACCTCTGGAGATCGTGCATTTCTCCTATTATTTCAACTATTCTGATATGTAGGTGTTTCTCTTATCCCGTAATTTTTTGAGATTTTGGACATTTTTTAATGTGATCTTCTTCCGTTTCGGTGCTTTTAGGGCTGCTTGGCTGTCTGATTTTAAAAAGATTTTGTTTGACATTGAACCACTTTTAAGATTTTACATGGAACAAGCAATTACGTTAGATTAGGTTAGGGTTAGGATTAGAGTTATGGTTAGAGACGGGATATGTTAGGCAAGGGTAGGGTTAGGTTACGTTAGGTGAAGCGAGGTTAGTGTTTGGAATAGGAACGGGTTAGGTACGGTTTTAAGTTACATATCCATAATTCAGTATTTTTTCGAGAATCGAAGAAATTTTGTGAGATGTACGAGTTGCTAGGGTTAGGATATATAACCGGTAGGTTAAATGGTCTTGCAAGTCTTCTCTGGCCAGTTTGTTTCTGTTGTTTGTCCGGGTGTAAGGTTCAGTAATATCTGGGCAGTTGACGGTGCAGTTCTCATAATATATTCTTTCTTTTGTGTGCCCTTTTAATCCTCAAGACTGTTTTCCTTCAATACAGTTAATGTAACCTTAACGCGCGTTTTATCACTTTTCCTTTTATGTTTGCCGATCAATAACCAAAAGAAAAAAATCTTTGGGATTTTCTTGTTTTCCATTGAGACATTTTGAATTGTACAACACTATTAAAAATAGCCAAAAATGTTTAGAATAATCACACATAAACTATTGTTTCCATTCATCCTCTATTGATTTTCCACCTGTTCCCCTGGAAATGGGCGTCATTACGGTTCTTCGAAAAATCAATATCCGGCCTACCAAGGGCGATATCTTAATGAGAAATCTGTTATAATTAAATAGAACTTAATCCAGACGGGGTCGCCGAAGATATAGAAGCAAAGATTTCAATTATGGTGGGATCATCGCCTCAGTCCTTCGAGGAGCAATGTAAGGATGAAATAGATCCAGCCTTAAATTAAATATATTAAAATCTCCCGACATTCAAGAGCCAAGGATTCCATACATTTTTATTGAATTAATAATAAGAAATAATCCTCGGGTGTCTGACTAATATACTAATTTCATTGATTAAGAAACGAAGAAAGTTGTAAAAGGGGAATACCAAATAAGCATTGAATACATGTGTGTAGATGCCAAAATCTTAAAAGGTTGCCTTATTGATTAAAGTAAACTGAAACCTTTTTGAAATAAATCAGAATCTAGCAACTCTGCCTTTTTACAAATCTTTGCAATAAAAAAATTAAAATAAAATAAAGTAAAAAGAAATCATTATTAATCAAGATGAAGAACTCACTAAGCTTATTCAGAAACCTTTGAATAACGTTCCTAAAGATATTAATACTTTTAGCAGATGAAATCTGTATATTAATGGTTCAATAATTTATTTAACACAATACAACGGTGAATATCCTAAATATCTCACTTTCGCATTAAACCTACCGTTCTGATCAACTATTCTCATAATTGAACAAACTTGTTAACCAGTTGGTTTTGGTTTACGTCTCGTAATGCGCTAAGTAGGTTAAGTTAATGTCAGGCTGAGGCGCCGGGGTTAAATGGTCCGGCTAAGCCCGCAGCAGGGGGAAGTCCAAGAAGCGGTGACTCCAGACTAAGTAAATCGGAATTTAATTAAGTAATGCTTGAAAAGTTTCTCTGATTAGTCGGCAACTCCGAGTGCGTCGACTTGTAACCGAGTTGGCGCAGTTGCTTAAATTGTTTAAAAACCACTCAACTAGATGTGTAAACAACATTGACAGCCCGTTATCCAAGAAAAGATAACCGGCCTTATAAACTCCAGGAGAAGAAAATTAATTATTTAAGTTTCAACACAATTTTAAGATGGTATGTAGCTATAGATTTAGCTTAGATGGTGTTGGATGTTGGAGAAACTATGTTTGGGTTTTGAAGGGAGCAAAAGAATACGTTTATCTGTGAATTTAGCGTGGAATGTGTTAGGATTTAAAGGGATATCGGTAGTGTTTACTTTTTATAAGAGAGGGCCTAGACTGCCTCCTTGCGGTACTCAAGCCACGACAAGGACGAAGGAGGAACGATCTGTAGTAAAACCTAGCGGAAAGGTAATAGGATGTATTACATCCTAACTTAGGTTCTAACCTGCCTACAATTGTCAATAAATTGTTGGTGGGTTTTATATAATACTGTTAATATTTGAAATTAAAGTGTACCTTTTTTTCGATGGTAGGTCCTTCGAGCGTTGCGTACATGATGGCGTCTGATATCTTAACTGAGAGTCCATTTAAGACGAAGTCGATGTTGGGCAAGAGCCCTTGCCTTATTTCCCTTACTAGGCTTTGCGTCTCCATCAAGAAATTGCTCCAGGGGAGATCGAGTTCGGTCGTCCTCTGCTGGGTCAAGCAACCGCGCATGACGTTTAAGCAGTATCCGTTGCAGGGCTTGACGCTGGAAGGTAGACCCAAGCATTTAGGGCAGTAGTAGAGCTTCAGCAGGGCCTCCCGGCACGTTTCTGTATTTTCGTGCCTGCTCGACATGAGCTCGTCGGTCGTCGAGAGCACCTCTATTCCAAGCGAGAGGGCTTCTAAGACGACTTTCATCGATTCGAAAGACTTTGCAATAGCTTTGCCCATCGACCTGGGGTGGACGTCAAACGGCTGTATCGAATCCATATTGTCCCGAAGGCATTTTTTATAGTCGTCGCTGAAGTCTTTCGAGTCCAGGTGGTGGATCGCCTGATGGTACACCAAGGGGAACATCTTTCCGAAGAAGTTGTTCACTATCTTCTCCAGTGCAGCACCGTCGTCGGTCGGTACAGCAGGAGGAAGGTCCGTTGGGACTTTGCTTCCACGTTCGATGTAGTCCATCAACGTCGAGTACATTTCGGATATGGGCTCTTTCACCAAGCCCCACATCTTGGCGTACACTTCGGAAAACATCACCATGGTCTTGTTTTCACTCTGGGCTGCCAAGCGACGCACTTGATCTGAAACAAGCGAAAATAATTACAGATTATTGGTTGCTGTCTTAAACCGAACTAAATAAAAACTAATTAATTGTTTTATCGTCGAGGTCTGCAGGATGATGAATCGTTTCCGATCTGCTAGGTCGTTCTGTATGTAATTTTTTTCGGGCTATTTTTATAAAAATTTTGTTTGTCCTTAAATTTTGGTCTATATTCAAAAAGGTTCACGCCTGACAGTCGAATCCAAGTGATAATTGGTGGACCAAGATGATCACAGACGATCGTGCTACCTATTAATTTGACTATTCAGTTAAAATCAAATAGTTTTCCTAGTAAATATGAAAAAAATAATTTCCTCACATTTCTGACCAGGTATTAAATATAGCAAGAATAAGTGGACCAGGATCATCTAGAGTCGAATCCACATTAGTCCCATAATTAACGATTCGCAAACCGACGGGACATAAAGTTGACAATTTTGAAGTCCACATTTGTCGAGGGCAACTGTCACATGGAATGTTTTAATGTTGGCGAAAAGCCTCAACAGATGATGACGGCGGGTATGGAGAGTGGTTGGTAATTTTCATTCCACTGTCAGGGCTGATTACCCTCGTTCTCCGTCCTTCATAATGTTCTCGTCAAAATGTTATGAAACATTATATTCACATATAAATGTGGGCGATGGGATTATTTTATTATTTGAGGTTTTTCAATCTGCAAATTTAAGCAAGAAAGAAAATAGAGAGTAGTTTTTACAAAAGTTTGTATAATTTCAACTATAGCAAGTAAAAATGAACTGACGCCATCGAGTGATGATAGTTCAGCATGATGAAATCTATTGGCTTCATCCTAGGAAAACCGAGCTCCAGCATTGAGTAATCATGAGGACGTTTCTGTCTCTTGCGAGGATTATCACGTAAACGTGGCGTACGACAGGCTTTTTAATAAAGGGATCCAGAAGATGATTATGGACGGCACAGTTTGTTGGAAGCTTAGAAAGGGCATTGAATGATGTTCTGAGGAGTTGGGATTCAAATGTTTCGGACTGCTATTAGGGGTGATGATGATGATAGGTATGCAAAAAAGCGGAGGTTTTGCATTTCCCAGGCAATGCAGTTTTATGGTTTATTGTACTTTTCATAGTTTTTTAGTTCTGTTCAATTGACTTGATCCTTCTTTCAAGTAATACTTGGTCAGGTGCAAATATTTTTCCCACGCATTGAGTGATTGCTTTGGATTAGAAGATTATATACATGGCAGTTTCTTCTTCCTCATTGCATAACCTATAACAATTTAATGTGCCCATGTTGTGAAGGTATTTTCTCAGATGCCAGTGACCGGTATATATCCTTAAACCTCCTGGAATTGGAAGAGGTTTTTTAAATCTTGAGTTTGCTATGCCGGAACCTCTGGAGATCGCACACTATAGATCTTATCAATAGGATCTCTTGCAGGTTTGAGAATAAAGTGGCCCTTATTTGGATACCAGCACATAAAGGACACCATGGCAATGAAAAGGCGGATCGCCTAGCAAAATACTGCGTTTGTCGGGTCAGAACCGGTATTACCTCACTCTATGAGCACAGCGAAAGAGAGTATCAATAACTGGGGCATGAAACAATTCCTAAGGGAGTGGAATTTATCCCCCGGACTCAGGCAATCGAAAGAGTTTGTTAAGGCGATCAAACCAGCAGAATCAAAATGGCTATTCTCGATCTCAAAAAAGGGAATTAGGAGGCTGATAGGTATTCTGACGGGCCACTGCCCACTGAGAAGACACCCCTTCGTAATGGGTATCCAACCAGATCCCTTTTGCCGCTTCTGCGAAATAAAAGAAGAAACGGCAAAGCACTACCTCGCAATAANATCCCTAAAACTCCTGGAATTGGAAGGGGTTTTTTTAAACCTTGAGTTGGCTCTGCCTGAATCTCTGGTGATCGCACACTTCTTGTATTTTTGTGGACCCATTTTGAGATGTAGGAGTCTGTGTTTGATCTCGTTATCCAAAGTCTATATATCTTGGGAGAAATAAATTCAATTCAAAGTTTACATTTTGGTTTTTGTATCAGAAAAGTTACTTAACAACTCAGGTACTTAAACAGGCCGAGTTTCTTTTTGGATCTACTTTGTCGCCGATGGGAATTAAATGATATGTTTCTATATCAAAAAGGAGGTAAAAGCTGAGAATCGGTTAATGGGAAGCTCGTGTTGCGCTCGCACAGCTCCCAAAGCACTCGACACAACTCCTTTTTCTCCCTTTCATACAAAATATTTGCAATAAGCCCATTTAAAGTTTCAACAATTCAAGGACGAATTGTGTCAATAAAAAAATTTGTTTTGGACGTGTTCGAAAGTCGATCGTTGGCGATTTCCAGCCGCCAGGAATCAGACGGGGTTTTCTGTTGACGTACGCTTCATAAAATAAATTGTAAATTTATGCTGATCAGTTTGATTTAAGATGGTTTTATTGTTGATAGTGTTTACCGTCAAAATTGGGATTAACAATCATGAACTTTATTGTAATTTTCTTTCAATATCGTAAATATGGAGAAAATAAAACCGATTTTTCCATGTTATTTTCAGCTAATAATAAGTCAAAGTTTGAGGTCCGTATAAGAAAAGAAACGTTCTCTTTGCAGTCGAGGTTAGAAAATTTATAAAAATTTCCTTTGCAGAACATCAAAATACTTAATAATAGATTAAAATGCAAATGCTCAAAAACGGAAAATTACAATATTAGTTTATAAAAAAGGGTGAGTAACCATAATGAATACCGCTTGACGTTGAAAGGCCTTAATTAAATTTTAGACACCAGGCAATTCCACCGGCACGATGTTAATTAACCTAATATTATTGTTTATAACCGACTAAAAGTGAATTTGAAGACTTTTAAAGAATAATTTTATCTTTATATTTGACACAGAGTTTCTATATTTGTATTGGTACAAACAGTCAATATAATTAACTACTAATTATATATGATGGTGTAAAATTTTTTTTTTTTTTTTTTTACTTCATTTATTTATATCTACAACTGTACATGCATGATATACAACCAGCAGATTGGATTTCAGACTGTGTGTTTGGCATTATGGGCGTTATAGAGAAAGCTACCCATTGGCAGCCGCTCTGGATTAATGAAATTATATTAATCATTTAAGAGGTCTCTTATCCATATTCTTTTCAGACGTTTACGTGGTAATTGTGGGGAATGGAGTAATTGTATTTGTGTGTTGGTGTGATTTTGTAATTTACTATGAAAACGTCTGTAATATGTTTTGATGGATGAAAAAACTGTTGGGATTTGAAGATCTCTGTGAAGTGTATTATTGTTTACATAAAATGGGGCAGAAACAATTAGTCTTAAAATTTTGGATTGAAAACTTTGTAATCTTTGAATATTGGAATACTTGGCCGATCCATATACTTGGCACCCATACATCCAAATTGGTTTGAGTAGGTATGTGTATGTCGAAAGTTTTGATTTTAATGGTAATTTTGATTGTCTGTTGAGTAGGTAATAAAGAATTTTAAATCGTTTGTTCAGTGTCTGTTTTTTTAATCGTGTGTGTGGATTCCAAGTTAGTCTTCTATCAAATGTAAGTCCTAAATAGTTAACTTTGTCGGATTGTGGAATAGGTTCATTGTATAAGTATATGCTAGGGCAAGTCTCACGACGGAGTGTAAAGGTGATATGTTGTGACTTTGAGGGATTAAACTTTATTTTCCAAAGATTGCTCCATTTCTCAATTGCTGATATGTGGTTTTGTAACATGAGTGAAGCTTGTGTAGAAGAGAGATGGCTTGTTAATATGGCGGTGTCATCTGCGTATGTGGCGGTAAGTGTATTTTCATTTGTGGGCATATCAGAAGTAAAAATTGTGTACAACAGCGGAGCGAGTATTGACCCTTGTGGCACACCCGCAAGCACTTCTTCCATCCCAGAAGTCTCCGTACCCTGGTTTACTGCGAAAAATCTCTCTTTAAGGTATGATTGTATAANGGAATCCGAAGAACTCCTTAAACTGGTCACTTGAAATGGAGTGCCTGGGTGGGCAATACACCGCTGTAAAAACAATTGTCTTGTTGAAGCATTGTAGAGAAATGGAAGTATTCTGAAATTGTGGTGTTGTGAAAGGCGGTAGGACATAATGTAAAAGTGAAGATTTTATAATGATAGCAGTGCCACCGTGAGACGTGCCATCTGGGTGGTCAGTCCTATGTACAGTGTAGTACTATGTACAGTGTAAGCATGTAGAGTGTAATGATTATTTAACTTCATATTTAGGTGCCAGAGCAAATTGTTGTCAAAAGTATGAATAACACGATAAATTTATCATATTAAGTTTTGTAAAAAGTAATAAAAAATTAGTTTTTTAGTGGAAGCGTGTATAGCGTTTTTACAAAGAGGCTGAGGGATCAGATGAAAAAACAACACGTGTGGCACTGTTCTCTCTATTCAGAATAACATTTTCTCCAGGGGAATTTATTGAATTACAAATCTCCAGTGCACGAGGTGAGTTTTTTTTACAACGCGTCGGGATATTCTGTGTTAAAGAAATGATTCGTTTTTCAAACTTACAACACCTGCACTGCGACTGAATAACACAACCTGAATAACCCGAGTAGTTTAAGAAACAAAGAATTGACCTACTCCTTTTAAATTTTATTGAAAACGTTTTTTCGTTAAACCGTGCTGAATAAAGTGGGAAAATGCATAAAGCAGTTTTGAAAAATAACGGGGCTTAAAGAAATTGTTTCATAGAAGGCTGTTGCTGTTCATCATATCGCATTAGTAAAAAAAGAAAAGTATTTATTTGAGGTTTGTTGTATGTGTAAAAGTACAAGTATATTATTAAACACATCGGCGTAACAAGAGTGTAAATATTTCTAAAGTAAAAACGTACAAATTAATCGCACAAACAAAAACAAAGATTTTGAGGAAAGGAAAAACCTGTAAACATGTGCAGACGGTGTNAT